GGTCGTCTGGTGCGTAAATTCGAGGCAACAGGTTTTGTGGCAAATCTGCCAGGTTCTAGCCGGCCAAGGAGCGTTCACACCGGAAAATATTGCTGTTGTGAAGGAGAGTGCGAGAGACGATCCGAAACAATCAACAACGCGTCGATCCCAAGAATTGGGCATTTCGAGAACCAGTTTGCTCCGCATTCTCCACAAGGATTTGAATGTACACGCCTACAAGATCCAATTGACGCAAAGCTGCGTCGGGCCGACCATTTTTCGCGCGCCGAACGTTCCAGATTGGCTCCTTGAACACCGCCAAATTGATGCCAATTTTTCATCAAAAATCATGTTCAGCGACGAAGCGCATTTCACTTTGAATGGGACGGTAAACAAGCAAAACTGCCGCATCTGGGCGAACGAAAATCCCCGTGAGTATCAAGAGCAGCCGATGCATCCTCAAAAAGTGACTGTGTGTGTGGTGTGCATTGTGGTCAAAAGGCATCATCGGACCTTACTTTTTCGAAATGCGGCCGGGGACGCCGTTACCGTCAATTCTGACCGATATCACGTGATGATAGAGGACTATTTTTTGCCGCAACTTGAAGGAATGGATATGGACGATGTTTATTTCCAACAAGACGGTGCAACATGCCACACAACCAACGTCAATATCCATCGATTGCAGTCCTTCTCTTCGGTGATTTCGCGCAGAGGAAATGTGCCATGGCCACCAAGATCGTGCGATTTGACTCCCTTGGACTTCTTTTTATGGGAATATTTGAAAAGCAAAGTCTACGTCAACAAACCAGCCACCCTCCAAGAACTCAAAAACAACATCATTGCCGAGATAAATGCCATAGAACCGACCATGTTGCAAAATGTCATTGAAAATTTCGACCATCGCGTGGACGTCTGTAAATCCAGTCGTGTTGAACATTTGAGTGATATTATTTTTCATACATAAATGGTATAAATGAACCTTCAAATAAAGTACCCAACTTGATTTGAATATCAATCTTTCTTATTTTAATATGCGTTTACTTTCCTGCGTCCGTTTTGGACAACCCCATATATTCCATAAAATAGTGCATAGAACCCCAAAGCACTGTTGCAGATGAAGTGGTCAATGGATGATGGATGGCCGAATTGGAAACGATACTTAGTTTAGTTCATTCATTCTAAATGAAACCTTGATGTTTTTAAAAATGTTCTAACCTGTTAGTTATTTTGCCATGTTAAGCTAAGCTGAGATGGAGTATCTGCAGCTAACATAAAACCGACAGAAAAGCAGCCAACGTTTGAACTTTTTTTTTATATCAAAGGTTAGTAGATCTGAGAAAAGCCTAGGTTAAACGTCTCTTCCATTGTCTCAGTTACCGCGCCTACTGCAGAGTTCAGCTGATATTTACAGCAAGTGATTAACTATTCAAACATCAGTAAGCGTTCAGAGAGATCAGCCACCTCTATCTCGTATAGCCAGAGGTGATGTACTCATCTAGCGATTAGCAGAGAAGGTTCAGTCAGATGGAAGTATAATTGGGACAAATGGAGTTACAATCAGATTGACGAGCGAGAAATAATGCCTAACCGACACCTGTATTACGTAACAGAAAAGGTGACATATCAATTTTTTTATACCGAGGCAGCCGCGTAGGCAAAATCCTAAATTCCAGGGCGTTGCTGCTGCTATGAGGAGATTAAGGAACTTTGTTATTCCGACTTTAGTATAAGCAGGGAAAATAACGCTAATTTACGAGGTCTCAATAACGAAATAAAGCCAAAGATTGCAGATACTCCCATTTTGCTTAGCACGGCAGCATTAATATTCAAAGGAAGTTCGATCTCTAAACATGGTATTTTTCATTAGAATTATGGAGTCACCAAGGGGCAATGCTTTGTTAGTAGGCGTCGGTGGTTCCGGTAAGCAATCTCTGACACGCCTGGCAGCCTCCATATCCTCCTTTGAGGTGTTCCAAATCCAGCTGAAAAAGGCTACTCGATGAACGACATGAGGGTGACATTGGGGCTTTGTACCTCAAATCTGGTTTTGAAGAGCGTCGGAATTGTTTTTTTGATGACCGACGCACAGGTCCCAGAGGAAAGGTTCCTGGTATTGGTGAACGACATGCTGGCTTCTGGAGAAATCAGCGAGCTGCTGCCTGATGAGGATGTCGAGGAATGTCATAAATGCTGTCAGAGGTGAAGTCAAAGGTATGGCTATAGTATGGAAAGATAGAAACTAAGGCCATTTCTACGTTATCAAACAAAGCCTGAAGTTACTGTACGGGTCTTTACTAGTTGACACATAGTGGTTCAAAAACCCTAAAACATAATTAAGACTATGTTCACAAAATTTCACTGAAGAGCTCTATTCATATATTTCGAGGTCGCTGTCTGTTCTCTTGTTGAAGATTTATTTAGCATCAGTGCTACAATGTCAGTTTTCATTCTTGTCTACTAAATACGCTAATCGATGGTTGGGATTAAGTACTCCCCCCACGTGCATTTTAAAATCCAAGAAATATTTAAGAGAATTTGTCGATTTTCAAATAACACAGTGCCGTATTACATGTGTTCGTCGGTGTTATACGTGTTTGGTGACTTGGACACCGAGAGGATTCTGTTGTACTCGTAGTATGTCCTATCTCCAGCAAAAACCACACAAGGGAAGCATATAAGACTGAAAAGTATACCTGCAGTAATAGTAAATATGCACAGGAAGCAATAAAGTTCGCAAATACTTCATATGGCCATGATATATTTTACAAAAACTGCGCTAGCTATATAAACCATCAGACAAGACAAAGAAGGATCATTTTATGAAAATAATAGATAAATAGAAAAGAAAGTTGTAGAAGGGTTGTTACAGAAACTTCTATAGCTGAAGCTAAAAACCGAAGCACTAGAAAAGTCTCTCTTGTTGAAGGACTAACGAATGAGGACTTTGATACAGCCTTCTTGCATGTCCTAAATTATTTAGAAAATGCAGGTGACATGAGATTTTCTATATGTTCATCTTAATCTAAACTATTTACATACTTCCGATTCCGCAATGCAATTTGCCACACCCAACACAGCTGGCTATTTTTAAACATGGCCTTGTTCGGTAGCATATTCTTTTTGACATGAGCTTCTCATCATTTTGACCGTCTACTGCTACAGGCATTCAATCCACACTCAGCATGCAGAGCCGTGTAACGGGAACATGCATACTTATAATTATTGTAAACAAAATTTGTAGTCAAATGACAAAAGCATTTTTTAGACTTTGGATAGATTTTTGGGTTCTGGAACTTCTGTGTAACACGTGAGTATATAAAATATCTCAAACAAGCCGTCGAAATATGGCGACAGATTTAAATAATTACCTGATTTTATATTGCCATTTAAAAGACGTTACTGCATTTGTCCAATAATATGGACTTTATTATTTTATAGCTTATGATAGAACTGAACAAAATATTCAACAGGTACTGGCCAACAAGATACCTAGAAAAAACTGTTGGAAATTCTTCATAGACAGAGTACGTAGACTACTGAGATCGTGCTGTGCTTCTCGCCCGTGGTTCAACATTAAGAGTGAGAGCTAGAAAGTTTCCAGCACTGGTCAACTGCACGTCGATTGAACTGGTTCCATGAATGGCCCAAAGAGGCTTTGAGTCTGTATCCAAGAGATTTTTGGCCGAAATTGAAGAGTATTGCCCCAGGACTAGTGAATTCTGTTTCGCTCTTCATGTCGTACGTACACTCGGTGGTAAGTACGAAAACTGGAATTGAAACTTGAAAAATCACATTACGACGGGAACCGTCGATTTTTTACATGTAGGTTTTTATGTCATATATGAACTAGATGACATTCACTTCATGCTCATAGATTATTACAACTATCAAGGTTTTCAAATGTTCAGTATTTTCAATAGTTTCACCGATCTTAAAATTTAGTGTCCAATTTTGAAGTTTTGAAGATTTTTGGAAATTATGAAAAAATGTCGAAAACATTCATAATCAGATTTTCAAAATCTTCAATTTTCAGAATCTTCAAGATCTTTGAAATTTTCAGAATTCTTACAATTCCCACGGTTCTTAAAATGTTAAAAGGACCATGTTCCCCTATACAGTGTGATCAAATATTCGATTGACATCGGAGTACCACGTATTTTCAGACTAGGAACAAATCGATTGAATATGATTCACCTTTATGCAAAAAATTCTTCGTTGGTCCCTTAGACGGCTTCAAATTTTTCATTTTAAAACACATTTTTTCAGATATTTTTGTAGCTGATAGTCCGATTTGAACGAAATTTCGAACACATGTGTTCTGTTAGATGTCCTAATATTGGACTTTCACAAAAAAAGTAGCAAAATTTTTCGCAACTCTCCCTACGTCTCTGACTTTTTCATTCAAAATATCCTTGAATTTACGTCATTTTTGTCTAGAACAGGCCATCTCGCATAGTTTACAACAAAACAAAAATCGAAACTGACTTCTGAAAGATGTTGTTATTAGATCATGTCTTAAATATAAAGGTATCGTTGTGGGAATGTGGGGTGTTATTAGAAGAGCTGCCTCTGGATGTAAGAAGAGCCATGTTTTTGATGCATGATGGTCCTCCACCTCGCTTTGCGCGTGCTGTAAAGAGCTTATATTTTTCTCCCCCTTTTATATGGGTAGAATTAAAGACAAAGGGATACGAGGTTCAGATAACATAGCCAAATCATTTATGGACAGGGTTCAAAATGCTGCAAATATATTGAAGAATAATGACATCTTAATAATTTAACTATAACTTTTTTCGCAGTATTGTTATGTGCAGGAGCGCGAACGGTAGTCATATGGAACGCCTTTACAAAGTATTTCCACTACTGCTTGTATTAAATAAAATTGTAATAAGTAATATCATACCGATTTCACTAAATAAGGTTATAATTGATAAGACGCTTGGACAGCCTGTATACGTGGCCTTTCTGCTTCTTCTAAGATTTCTGATCAACCTTTCTTTCCTGCTTAGGTGAATGATATGTCCGAAGCATACCTCCAAAATGAAAAGCGCTACAACTACACCACGCCAAAATCCTTCCTAGAGCAAATCGACCTATACTCGAAACTGCTCACCGACAAAACCACTCAAGTGAAGCACAACATCACTCGATTGGAGAATGGTCTGACAAAGTTGACGTCCACTTCAGAGGAAGTAGATGGCCTAAAGGACGTTTTAGCTGTGCAAGAAGTGAACTGAAGGCGAAAAATGAAGCCGCAAATAAATTGATCAGCAGACTGTCAGCAGAGAATGAGAAGGTCGCAGCCGAACAAGAGGTTGCTAGTACCGAAGAGGCCAAAGTCAAGGTGGGGGTGTGCTTTGCTTTAAAACGGCCCTTCTCGGTTGTACTAGAAATACGCATGGATACTAGATCGAATGTCGCGATATATACAACTTTGAAGTTGAGTCATTAATTTCAGATGATTGTAGAAGGAAGATAAACCAAATATGTGTGTAAAAATAAAAAAAATTTTACCTTGTTTATAAAGTATCCTCCCGACAAGTATTTCAGTGCGGACCTGTATTTGATCGTGCGGTCTTGGAGCACCGGCATTCCCTCCCCTGTGAGGTCTTAAGTCACCTGATTCACGAGCCCTTTGTACTACATTCAGCATTTTCGTAAACATGTGCCATTTTTATTTCGTTTGAGCCACGCAAACAAACACCACTATTCACTCACGCGTTACCGACTGACACATCGACTGAATACGACTGAATAAAATTGTACATTGTAGTAAAAACATCGTTTCAAATTCTTTCGCTTTTTGTTTCCGATGCGATGAACGGATAAGGTGGATTATATCCGTTGTTGCCAAACACGAGCACATAATATTATTATTGAGACAGGGCGGTACTCAAACTTCTAAAGGGCTATAACTTTGTTGCTTCAATTTTACCAGAAAAATGTTAAAGGAAAAAACATTTCTTTGATCAGATCTACTCACTGTTAAAATAAATGACTCAACTTCGAAGTCACCCTGTATAGTAACTCAAATCTCATAAATATTAGTTCATATGCCATAAGAAAGTACCTCAAACGGAACAGAATAGTAGTTCAAATGGAACAGATAGTAGTTCAAATGGAACAAGATAGTAGTTCAAATGTCACAAGGTAAGCAAGAAATTGGTTCAAATATCACAAGAAAGTAGTTTGTTGAGATAGGTATTTGCCTTCGGGGTAAAATAACAGCTATTTGTTCCTTTTCCGGTGGTGAGTCGGGTTATTCTTCTTGTACAATGTTGTAGTCTGCTACTAGACGTTTCACAACTTACAATGGGTTTTTTAACACTACATTTAACAATTTTAGAGAAAGTTTTGTGCTCTTAGAAATAAAACGTGTGGACTGTATATTCTAGTTCTCTCAACTCCTCTCACTGTTGCCACGTCGGAAAATTGTTCGTAACACCGCGGAAACATAGTTCAAAGGGCAGGAGGATGGTAGTTCAACCAAGGATGATACTAATGAACAATGATATGTCAGCCGACTTTCAAATAAGGCTGTGCTTTTTCTCTGCGTTTGTAACTAATTATTCTTATAATAAAGGAAATATTGCCTATTCAGAAAGAAATTTGTCTACACTATTAGTAAACTTAATTAACGAATGGTCGGTCCTAAAAAATGATGATGTCTGATGGTGTAGCAATTCACTGTTTAAATTTATAAAACCAAGGGAGTATTTAAATGTCTAAACTTTGTCTTATTAGTATTGAAGGTCAAGTAACTGTTGTCACACCATTTTATGTTTGATATGCCCCTATCAGCTTATTTTATTTACTAAGTTTTTACAAAACAAGATTACATGGAATAAACGGGAATACATCAACATGCAAGCTCACAAGACATTATTAAAAAGTCACATCTTAAAAGATACTATTTAAGCCTGAGAGTGTACAGGTGAAGAAGCGTTCTATCGAGTGGAGAGTGCTGACCATAATTGCCGGAAGGAACTTAATCAATTTTCTACGGGGTACATTAAGATTTATCAATGTTAACAATCGAAAATTGGCAATCGATGAGCCGAAATGAAATCCTCAAAGCGAAACAACCATTAAAGACCAAGCGCTATGCTCCAATGTAGATAATGCAAATGTCCTAAGATGTCAGCTCTATTTAAGTTCATCTCTAATGCTGCAAGACGTAAAAATTTATACTGGACACGCTCCAAATAATCCTTGTAAGTGTGGTACTCAGAAGAAAGACCATACTACTGTAGCATATTCTAGATTGATCTCACCAAGGAGCAGTAAAAAAGTCAGAAGGTATTGATTGAAAAACACATAAAATTTCACCAGAGCCAGCATCTGCATGCCCCTCACACTAACCTTAAGAACAGGATCTGTGAAGTCAAGTATGTGTTTCTATTTTTTGTCTTAACTTTACTTGTATCTGTGTCTTGCCAAAGTATTGCGGTATCGTCAGCAAAAACGACGATCGTTGATATAGACTAAGAACAAGATTTTTTTTTTATACTCCAACTACACGAAGCCTAAACACCCATTGGGTACCGTGGGGCTATAGGGAGATTTAGGGGAAAGGGGGAACGCCACACGTACTCTGGCGAGGGAACACGTGTGCATGCAACATGCACACATTCTGGCTCCGCCTACGAGATCCGCCGGGTGGTACCTCCACGTTCGACAGTCAGAGACCGTCTACCACCTACGGACAATCACAACATCCATAGCCAAGAGAAAGGTTTCTCCCGGGACGGGACTCGAACCCGCACAGCGCACGGCGACTGATCAGGAGACCGAAGAGTCTACTACTGCGGCCACCGCTGCTGCCTGATTGGTCCTAAAACTGGTCCTTGTTGTACCATTGTGATTATATTTAATTTATTTGAAATATGCTGGCATGATGGTTACAATTTGAGGTCAATTATTTAAATATGTTTTGAATCAATTGAGCGAAGTTTTAGTACAGCCACATTTGTTATACTTGTTTAAATTTTTTAATAGTATATTATGGTTTACACAGTCAAACGCTTTAAAAAGTCGCAAATCAAACTATTGAAATCTTTTATTGAAAATTTGAAGATATCCATTGGACTGATGTGAAAATAGCGTCTATGGCATTTTTTGTTTTGAAATCCAAATTAGTTGTCACTTACATTTATTCGTTTTAGAAGCTCTCCCTACGTTGGACTGCTTTTTCTAGAGCATCAAGAGAACATTAGCTACAACTAAATTTCAACAATGCCTGATGATTTTTACTTTTGGTAGATCTTAATACTAACTGCAAATCATAAATGTCAGTAGGATGAAGTAAAATTCGGATCTATATTTATATAGTTTCAGAGTTGTTTAATATGATGTATGTTTGCATTTATTCGCGAGTCAAGTAATGAACTTGGTCCGATTTTTCGCAGGTCATAGAAGAGGACGTATCCGCAAAACAAAAGTATGCGCCGATGACCTTGGCGAAAGCTGAACCAGCTTTGATAGCAGCTCAAGAGGCATTGAATACCCTGAACAAGAACAATCTGACTGAGTTAAAGTCCTTCGCGCAGCCGCCAGATGCCGTTGTGAGCGTTTGCGCGGCCTGTCATGGTGCTGTTTGCAAAGAAAGGGAGATTCCGAAGGACAGGGGATGGAAGGAAGCCAACAAATGATGAATAAGGTATATACTGGATGTTTCCGAAACCTGCGACAGAAATCTTCGATGATTTAAAAAAAATGGCTCGTTTCAAATATGCGGCGCGAATATTTTTTTGGGAATAACGTTTTTTATAGTAAAAATCACATATTAAGCATTTCACGTGAAGCGGACAGCGAAAAAGAAAGTGAGGTTCCAAAATTCGTTTATATTGGGTCTGCTTGTAGCTGTAAAAGAGAAAACCCGATTTTTTTTTGTGGTACGTTCATTTGTTAAGCCTGAAACTTCGAAGGTATTTGATATTGGGAGATTTTCGAAGAATTATTTCAAATTGAAAAGTATTAAATTGGAATATGCAACATTGCATCTTGTGTAGGAAGTTTTCTGTACTTTTTGATAAGATCAAATTTGAATGACATAAAAACTTTAGGTTCTAAGCCGGAAGCAAACATTTTAAACCAAAATTTGGGAAACTTCTCTTTTTTTTATTTTCGGCTTTTTATGGAAAAAATTTTTGCTTTAATTGTGTTCAACATACTTCAGACATTTTGAAATGGTATGCGCATTAATTAAGGGGGTACATTCACGTCGACATGGGTATGACGTTAGGCGCTTATTTGGGTAAACTGGTTTGCGAGATGTTGTATAATAGGCTACAGTGTGAGTATTTTTCAGCTGTAATAATCATTTAAAACATTTTTAACATGCAAATATAGTTCATTTCCATACTATTTCTTAAAAACTGAAATTAAAAGTAAATAGCGTTCAAAACCGGAAGTAAACTCTTCAAACCATAACTAAATCCTACCATTTTTTTCCTGATTTTTTATTCCAAAATATAGCATAATGAGTTCTTAAAATACACTAGGAGCTTCAACATGGGAAACACATTCACCAAGGAGGATTTTTTCTGTACATACATGTCGCATTGAGTATGACGTTAGGCGCTGATTTGGCGACTAGTCTGTGGGGAAGGAATATTAAGGAAAACTACATTAATGTTGAAAGGAATATTTTATTTTATAATCATTGCAATCTCACTTCGCTCGCTAATACCAATTCTTCTAACCACAAGGCTTTCTGTCGTGGGGATGAATGCATGAAATTGCTTGGCCACTGGGATTGTTCTAGCTCGATTAAAGCGGGGTTGCAGGAAAATTCTTTTATGCTGTAGGTATTCTTTGGAGCAGTAAAAAATCGTTGTTTGTTTATAACATGATTTTGCCTATTGCCAAGACAAAACATTTGCCCTTTTAGGAAACTGAAAGTCGGTGCACGTCCTGAGTTTGCTGAATATCACTCAATAAAAAGCGACTGATGTATTTACAGGTCAACGATTAGTTAGGCAGATAAATATGCTTTATTGTCTGAAGAAGAAAACGATTCTTAACGACAAAGCTAACTCAAAATTAAAATATAATATAATTACATACGTGGATCTTAAGTAGGTGGACAGTAGAAGTTATACATGGTATAATATGGTTTACATATTGAAAAGCATTTAAGTTCACGGGGGAATATCTTAGAATTGTTAATTCGTTTGATGGTATCCGGGAGACACTTGTAAATTGATTTTCAGACCATTATAAATTATTTAGTCTTTCACAATACTTGATTTTATCATTAAGTGAAGACCTTCTTTTCGTCTAATATTATAACGTATACTTAGTGTTTCAAATTTAGATTTATTTATGAGTTGCCGATTTCCAAATGAACAATGATACGATGGTTATATTTAAGATTTCCAAGTAAAGGCATGCATGTAGCTTTAGGATTGCTTTTAGTTGTATATCTAATAAGACATTTTAAATAAATAAATAAGTGCCCAATAGAACCAAAATCGAATTATAGGACAATATTACTATATCACTTCAGATGAAATACAATAAGTGGAAAAAGAACCGTCTTTACAAAAGCTAGTGAGTAAAGCAAAGCAGCAAACCAAAAGTCAAATCTTATGGCACCATATTCCAAATATAAGACCACATATAACTAATGCCTATTATGTTGATTAACTGATAATCAATCGCATTTATGAGTTGTTTCAATGTGATATGATTAATGTCACAGGTCGAAAAATATTGCTTAAAGTTAGTACACATTACATTTACAGGTGAATTGGCAGATACATTAACTCTAGGAGTCCTATTATAAAACATCACACTTGCGACATTAAATTGACACAGTGAATATGGATATGTAATATTTTAGAGAGATAAACTATTACACTGGTGGTTATTCTGAGTTATATAAGGAGTACAAATAAAATCGATCCAGAAGCATATTATGACCATAACCTCTATTGGGACAGCTCCCATCAGCTCTAAATGATAAATAGTTTAGAAAACGCTCTTGCATCTTTCCCAATTTCTGAACATGTAGGTTGCAATAAGGATACCAGATGATTGAAGAGTATTCAAGCTTTGGTATTAGTGAGATACATGTGTAGTTTTGATTATTTCAATCTTGTTAGATTATCTGCTTATCCTCATCACAAGACCTAATCATTTGGATGACGCGTTGAATACTTATTCAATGTCGCTTGCAAAAACAGAGTATGATCGATTAATCGACCCAAATCTTTTACTGCTGTTTCACGCTGAATAATTGTGTCATTCATATATAATATATTTCTCTCACACCATGTTTCTATAATGTTGTGTTGATTTTGTAAATTCGCAGTCAATCATACCTGTTATAGTACATTAAATTTTCAAGCCGTCCTCAAACAATAGAGTACCACACGAGGAGACTGAAGCTAAGCCATTTATGAAGACAACAAACTTTTTAAACAATTTTAGGAACAGACACACCAGAAGCAAATGCTATATCTCAATCTGTCTTTAAATAGGGCAAGGTAGCTGCTTAAGTCTGTGCTTTTCACTACATGTAACTAATTGTTCATATAATAAAGGAAATCCTTGCTAGTCTAGTAAACAAATTGTCTAGATATTGATGGTGTTTTTATCGTGTGCAACAATCCATTATTTGAATTTATAAAATCAAGTGCGCATTCAGGTCATAAATTTTGTCCTATTAACAAAAGTTCAAGGAACTGTTGTCACATCATTTCTTGATTGATTTTATATCATCCAGGTACCTAGTTACCTGGAACGGATTTGGAAGCTTCAAATGTAACTTACGCCCTTAATTCGTTGCTTTTTTATGTGCGCCAATCAGGTCAATTTCAAAAGACAATCGCTAATACCATTGGTCTGCGAATTTTCTTGGAAAATACAATAATCATTGCTAATATACAATTATCTTACCGTAGGTTGATCAGTTCCTGTCCGACTTGATAAACTACGACAAAGATAACATCGCTCCAGAAATCGTAAAGGCACGCAGGAGTATACGAAACAGGCAGACTTCAGCTACGAGAAAATCATCAGCAAATCGGTAGCTGCAGCCGGACTATGTTCATGGGTGGTTAACATCCTCAAGTACTATGATATCTTCGTGGTGGTAGAGCCAAAGAGGAAAGCTCTGGCTCAAGCTACCAAGGACTTGAGTGAAGCAAGGTATGAAAAAAATTGTATGGTTTTTGGTAAGCACAAGGCAAATAAATTGAGAACACGTATTGCAGTAACAATAACGTAAAGCCAACTATAAACTCCATTTTCAGTAAAATTCTTAGGTGCTCATATTGGCAATTGTCACCCTGATCTGGAAAGTTCATGCTGATAGTGTTGTAAATAACCTATCCAAAATAATTTACCTCATTCATAACCTGAAGGATCAAGTATTTCATAAAATCTTAATTACAAGTCACCATACATACTTTCATTCGAAAATGACATTTGTTTTAGTACCCATATACAAAAACTTTTTCCGTTTAAACCGCGGTGCATTCGCTACATATCTGGCCTAAGATATAGAGATCCGTGTAAATACGAATTCGTCAAATTAAACATTTTAACCCTACCATGTAGCTACATCCTAGATTATCTGTTATACATCACAATAATGTTATTGCCTACACTACCCATGGTCAAATAATTTGTATGGCACTCGAATCAAGAATAATGTATGCGCAGAGCACCATCGGATATACAGAAGCCGAAATGGCACCAACTTTTATGAAATCAATTTCTTTAATAAGTTGCCACTGCTGTGAAATCACTGGATGTTAACATTTTCTATATAAAAAAACGTTCCTCCTTAAGAAAAGTTTTTTTTCTCATTGGAGAGAAATGATGATTCCTATGATACGATCTGAATGTTTGTATAAAAATTTTATCATATCTATTTTTTACGTACCTGCTATCTTATTTTTACAATCTGAACTGTATAAGCACCATAGTGTATTAACACCAATAAATTCTTATTATTATTGTCACTTAAATGTTTCCTTATTGGCAAATTCAAGTCTATTCAAAAGCATACACCAACGCTTAGCTATGTCGAGCACATGCAATGTGTCTGTGAATATATCGCAGATAACTTGAGCAGCAGACAAGAGACAGAGCTGTATTTCTGATTTTTTTTTGGCTGAACGGTGAATAACTACTCTTTCATCTATTTTATTTTTTACTTTTTTCGCTGTTGTTTCACCGCACATTAACTTTGTGTTACAATCGCAGTTGTTTCTAAAAAGGACAGTCCCAACTTTCAGGACACCTGGTATTGTCAAGGAAGTGTCAATTGTACTGAAGAAGGTTACCGTTTCAGATCGAAACCTATACGTTACAGTAGAATTTTAGACAAATATGGGTTGATTGACCAAATAAACGTGGGGGATTAAAACCACGGATGTTTCAACGTTGGTCAATAAAGAGGAATTTAGGCATATGTGTTTTTGATTCTGTCCGATAACCATAAAGGATTATCAGTATGAAAGCCCTAACTTCAGTAGCAGATGTCAAATTGAATAAATTAACATTGTTTAAAGTATCGCTATGGAGCTGTTCTCGATTGTTGCTTACCGTGTGCCTTACTTTCTATAACTTTCGCCATGGTCTATCAAGTAAAAATGTGACGGTGAAATGAAAAAACATAATTTGTGAGGATAAGACAAGATTCAGGATCCTCGAGAAATGCTACTTAAATTTCAATCGTATCTTATATATAATTTACGATCCAGGTCCAGGCTAGATGAACGATGGCAGTGCTGGTTTTATGACAGGTTCTTGCACATGGTACAATATCATGTAAATTACTTGGAAATAAAATAAGTAGATTTTTTATAAGACAATATTCTGCGTATTAGTGACGCTACACTAGATGGCGACATGAAACGGCGCAGTATACGGTTGGTCATGGTCACGGGGGCAAAAAGCAATCAGCTTTTAACTAACTGGTTAAGACGTTTTCCAACATGCTATAAAAATTATTGTTTTTTTACAATAGGACTAAATTGAAAGAGTTAAACGAGAAGTTAAACGACTTGCAACAGCAACTTGACATTTGAGAGCTGAGTACGATGAAGCGTTGGATGAAAAAAGGAAATGTCAGGACGAAGCAGACAAAACGGCAAATATGATCGACTTGGCGACAGACTGGTATGTGATTCAAAATAACATACTTAGATAAAAGCTTGTGAAATTAAATATATGCACAAATAATTATAAATGATATTGATAGGATATCTGGAATATTTCCCTCGTCATTTATCCTATTACTAATTCATTACTCTACATATTTACCATTGAACAATACTATAGATTTAAATACTAAAACCGAACAAATAACATCGCTCTGGATACAGTTACTCTGGTGCAGGCTATTCAAATCATGTTCAAATAATATAATCATAATTTTGCAAAAAATTGCAATAGTTGTAACATTATTGTAAAGTAAACGAATGGAATATTGATCCAAGGCAAAAAAATAATCCCTTTGGCGCTCACTTGTAGTTTCTGCATCTGGTTTTTTTTTGATATGAGATTTTTCTAACATAAAATCAAGACTATTTCATTTACCGAAGATCTATGTTTATTATTTTGTTACGTTTAGGTGAATGGTCTAGCTTCGAGAGAACGTGAGATGGCGCGAGCTGGTCAAGTCTTACAAAGAATCTATAATCACACTACCATGCGACATACTACTGGTGACAGCTTTCATGTCCTACGTGGGATGCTTCACGAAGAAGTACCGAGTGGACCTGCTTCATAAGTACTGGAAGCCATATTTGACTTCTCTGACAGTACCCATACCGATGACCGAAGGCTTGGATCCGCTGTCACTGCTCACCGATGACGCTAAGATTGCGGAGTGGAATAATGAGGGACTACCCACAGATAGAATGTCCACAGAAAAATGCTTGTATATTGACTAATCCTCAAGGTAGGCTTGGCTGAGATTAATAGCTCCATATCCGAGTGGCGTGTGGCTCAAATGCACACGGCTAATACTAACTACGTGAATACAATGATAATAGTTTAGATGTACAGTGAGAGTAGTTCAAATGCTTATGGAAAGTAGTCCAAAATGTAGGATGAAGGTAGCTTAAATGTACGATGAGAATAGTACTAATGTATAGGGAGAGTAGTTCAAATGTACTGTGAGAGGAGCTCAAATGCAATATAGTAATGAGGCGTCTTCAATTCCAGATAGATTTAAGTTAAATCCAGTTTACCATATACGGCCCGAGTTCAGCTGTAGCTGCTCTTCCAGTTAACCGCATAGAAAATGTGTACAAAAAATAGCGTCACCTACCTCTGTTACGTATTATACAAATACATTAAGCATACAAAAGCATCATATTACTAAAAAAATCAAAAAACTTGTATCAACATGTATTCGAAAACTAGATTACTGTTGTTAGACTGAGAGGTGTTTATTAACTAAGCTTTGAAACATGAGATGCCGCGAGTTTTAAATGTGACAAATTTGATTGCTGAATGTGGCGTTGCCATGTGTGTAACAAGTCAGAAAGTTGTAGAGATGAGGGTTATTGTCTGACTTCTTTTCATTAAAATCGTCGTTTTATTTTACAAGGTGGCCGTTGATGATAGATCCCCAGCTGCAAGGTGTCAAGTGGATCAAGACAAGATACGGTTCCGCACTGAAAGTAGTCAGGCTATCGCAGAGGACATACCTGGATACAATAGAGAAGTGCATCTCTGAAGGAATGGTTGTGCTATTGGAAAATATCGGTGAACATTAGACGCTGTCTTAGATTCCATACTTGGTAGGGTCCTCATCAGAAGGGAAGAGCTATCAAAATTGGAGACAAGGAGGTAAGAAGGGCCGGTCAAAATATGCAAGCAGCACCAACTCATCGTTATACTGACGTTTAGGCCTGCCAATTGTCATGAAGGTTTCACTAAGTTGCATTCATTGGCTAAGTTACTATCCTTTATTGTTGTTTGTTGTAGATTGACTACATATCAACTTCAGATGATTACTCCATACAAAGCTTGCAAATCCCACTACAAAACCTGAGATTCAAGCTCAAACCACTCTGATCAACTTCACTGTCACTCGCGAGGTCTGGAAGAGCAACTTTTGGCCGAAGTAGTCAAAGTAGAACGGCCCAGACTTGGAAACGCTAAATCAAATCTCACAAAAGATCAAAATAATTATAAGATTACATTAAAGCGGTGCGAAGATAACTGTTGGAAAAGGCTGTCTTCTGCTACAGGAAACATCCTAGGTGAGTGAGTTCAATGATTGAAATTCCTTTGAACCCTTTAAAATGCTTCTGTGTCTTTCATTAAATGTTGATGTATCGTTCTACTACAACCAGTTGTGGCATTATACCCGATGCTAAAGTCATTGGCGCAGGTGTTGGTATAATGTTTACCAGTGTTTGGACGCGCTGTATCTCTTCTGAGTATAGGTGACGAGGAATTGGTAAAGAAATCTAGAAACCACCAAAAAAACCGCGAATGAAATTGCAATCAAAGTAGAAGACGCCAAAGTTACGACAGTCAGATTGATGAAGCTCGAGAGGCAAATACAGACCGTGCGCAGCTAGAAGCTTCGCTTCTGTACTTTATCTTGAACAGTTTAAATCGCATCAAGGCGATATATCAATTCTCATTGAAGGCATTCAGCGTCGTGTTTAAGGTATATCACTAATATAAGTTTAACAGTTTAATGAGAAGCCCCTCAACAGAGGTAGCGCTCATACTGCTAAACCGTCTGTCACTTAGCTCTACCATAAATTTATGAAAACGTTTGGTAGGGAACAGTTCAATTAAAAACAAAAGGGTCGACGTCCATGAAACAGACATTGATATTCCTATGTATTTCTTGATGTTGAGGCGGATCCGGGATCATAAAATAACCCCTAATAGGAATGAAAATTCAAGTGTTCGGGGCGCCAGAAATTTGTAGCTACTACATATTGATTATTGTCTAAATGACCATGAACAAGATTGAAAAGCTGATAAGAAGCTGACTCAACAGATGTTTTGTTCCTAAAACCATGTTGTGAATAAGTTAGCAAATGATTTTACTCCGCAAAGTCTGCAACTCTGTTATACAAAAACTGCTCCAATATTTTTGATAGTTCGGATAAAAAAGATTCCTACACCGCTGTGCCGAAAAACTACCACTGAAAGGGGTGACAATTGAATTTTGGGTGCTGTAGGATAGTATTCCCATGTGTATTTCGACGATGAATCCGAATTTGTGGTCTACAAAATTTGTACACGCCTGGAATTGATGCCGGCAGCGATATTATCTAAATAACCTAAAAAACGTAAAAAAAAAAACAGACGAAATGTCATCTTAGGTAGTTTCCAGTTTTCAGGCTCTTTTCTTCACCAGGAAAAGATGTCAGATAGCGAAAATACGCGTCCAGCAATATAATGATTTAGCACTGTCAAAAAGTACATGGGAATTCTATACTCCAGAAGCTGGAGTCTAAAACTCAATTCTTACCCCTCCTATGGGTAGTTTTTGGGTCCGGAGGGAAACTCTAGGAATGTAGAGATGTATCCAATGACAAGTTCAGATTCAGTGGAAAAAACATAGGAGTACCAAGCTTCAGTATTTGGAGTCTGAAACCCGATTTTCACTCCATCTAGAGGTAGTTTTTGGGCCCCGGAGTAAGCTATACCTAGTAATGTAGAGATCTCTCCGACAACAAATTCAGATTTACTGACGCTAAATACAGAGTTCCATGCTTCAGCATTTGGCATTTGACCTAGGGGTAGTTTTATGATCAGCGAGTGAACTCGAGATGTGTAGGTATCTTTTCGACTACAAATTCAGTTTCAGCAATGCATAGTATGCTTCAGCATTTAACGTCCAAAACTCAATTTTCGCATATCCTAGGTGTAATTTTCGAGCCCAGGGTTGAACCCGAGGTATGTAGGTATCTTTCTGACTTTACATTAGGATGGAATCAATTACGTGAAAATACTGCTCCGGCGTCTGGCGTCCAAAACTCCATTTTCGTATGTCGCAGGGGACCGGGATTGAACTGTAGGGGTGTAACTATCTTTTCGAGGACAAACTCAGATTCAGTGTCAAAAAAAATACATCTAAACACCAA